CACACACACACACATATATATATATATATAAATATATGTATTTATATATATAAATATTTATATTATATGGATGTGGTCGTGGTCTCTATGGAAATTTCGTTTGTGTAAATTAATTCCAACATTGTAATTATAAAAAATGATTTATTATAAATAAAAACAAGTAATTGGATTATTAATTACAAAACCAGATGAAACTATTTGATCATATTGTAAATATTAGTTGAAAAATACAGCCTTGTTGGTATTTTTTTTGTTGGTATTGTAAGAGGTTAAAAATTTAAAACTTTGAAGGTAATTTCAGATTGACATTTTGTCTGGAGGGTAGAGGTGAGGAACATGGACCACATTCTATATGGTTAAGTCTCAACGGTGTTCTGTTTTTAAATTTCATTAAAAAAACAATTTTTTGAACAACCACACGAATAACCACTGAGCTACAAGGCAATTAGAAACTTAGTTGAGATTTCTGAATGTAAATCTTAATCTGTACTTTACCAAAAAGTATGACAATAGAATTTGCATATTCATTGTCACATACATATTCATGTAGCTTGTTGCCTGAAACATGTACAAAAAAGTGTATATATATTATTATAGTATCATTCTTTTAATTATTTTTTCCTTTAATTGGTACAAGCAATTTTTGTGCTAATGTTGTGGTTTATTATTGTTATATATTGCAGACCATTGTATTTTTAATGTAATATTAAAATATTATAATAATCTAAAGTAATAAATTGATATGTTGCATTGTTGAATATCAAATAGTTCCCTTTAGCAATCAGGACAAGCTGGAAGCATATTTATACTATTTCAGATTCCATTCTGTGTTTGCAACCTATCCATTAACACTGCCATATATCTGCTATAAAAATATAATATTATAAACTATTTGTTAACTAAATTTTCAGAGGAAAAAAATGTAAATGTTTTCTTTAAATTTAACTAATATGAAAAGATGTGATATCTGGTACACTACACTGCACCGTCTCTATGGGTTAACCAGGGGCGTGGGTTGGGGACGTAAAAATGTTTGTCGTGGCTGGCGTGGCTATTTTAAATATTATGCTGACGTCGGCCATACCTAATTATATAGTGGATGCCATCTGCAGGAAAAATAAAACAAACATTAAATGGCCTAATCTAATGGATCGACTACAGTATGTATTTTTATCCATCGTTGAGGCCTAGCTTAGAATAGCATCACCACTGGGTTTATCTGCTAGGATGTCGGTCATCCATAATTATGTATTTTGTTGCCATCTTCAGGAAAAATTTTTAAAAATAATTTAAATGGCATGAAGTCTAATAAATTGAATACAATATGGGTTTTTATCCATCTTTGAGACTTAGTTTAGAATAGTATCATCACTGGGTTTATCTGCTAGAAAAACCCTACGAACTTGAATAACAATTAAGTGTTGAGGATGCATAATAAGTCTGTCTATATTCATCGTATATTGTTCAAATTACAAGGAAACTCGTATTATGCAAGCTGATGTTCTGTAATTCATGCTATATCATCACGAAGCTTGATTGAGTGGGTAATGAAGTTAAGTGTTTTTATTTATGGCAGGCAAATGAGATTTACTGTAAGTAGGGCTAAACTGAACAATCTGACATTTAACTCTGCGTTTTACTTCGTCAATTGTCAAATCAATGTTAGGTTTAATTCACATAAAAGCTCATCTAATTGAAAGAGACTTGTACGACTTATTTTCTAGATAAAATTCTGCAATTGCTGGAATTAATTTTTTTCTGAGATAATACAGTGGCGGATCCAGGTTATTTTCGATAATGAACATTAAAAGGGAATCTTTGCATTTTATCCAGCAATGTATTATTATAAGTGGTAGTTCAAACAAAACCAACCCATATCGGTCGACGTTGCCCTTTAAAAATTTTCTTCATTAATAGATATGGTTGTACACTGTCGGCACGGTGTGATGGCGCTATTGCAGAAAGGATCCAATTAAGCTTACAAACCACTTACACTTATAGCAATAGTATGTAATTCATGAAAACAAAGGGCCATTTGTCTCCCTCTAACTACTCCACCCTCTTGCCTACGATATAGTTAAATAATTCATTGTCAACTTTTATGAATTTGTAGGCTGTGATGGACTGTGATACAGTGAAATAAATTGAATTGAAAAGCCACCTTTTAACCAAATTCATTAGCAAAACTCATTACTTTATTCTGTTTTTGTGTTATTTGATACATGGATATTCTTAAATGAAAATTTTAGAGAGGATTACATATAAATTGTGCACTAAATAAAATAAAAATCAGTAAGAAAACTTTGAGAAGTTACAATGTATGTTTATTATTCATAATTTCATTTCTCAAAATACTAAGTCGAGAGGCGGTTGGGCAATTGAGGGTTCATGTAAAACTATACAATGCCGACCAGACAAAAAATAAAACAAATTATTTTTATTATTCCTGTTAATAATTCCCTTATAGCATTATTATAAATAATTAATAAATTTGCAATTCACTGCTAGAATGGTGACAAACACTACTATGGATTTCTGCTACCCTTGGTCCAACCATTCATTTGTAATTATAGATACCAATTAAAATATGTATTTTATAACACTGGTAAAATTACAGGCCTGGGAACCATCTACACTGTCTTTTAATAGCAATCGATCAACTGCTCCGTCTCATTATCACCGGTTGCCGCAGCAATAATATCCTCTAGCAGAAGCAAAGGATTATGGGCATAATCATTAATAAGTAGCGACTTTTCTGCAAAAATTTTATCTAGATCAATGGTGGTTAACTCCAATAAACTTTGCATTACCTTCTGATCGAGTTTATAACCACGATCGTGAACGCCTAATTCATCCGCAAGCGTTCTGCAGTGTGTACAACCTATTGTTTTCGTATCCGATTCATTTAAAAAGAGGTCATCTTGAGAGAGAGTAAAACCGTTTAACTGCACTACCTGACGTAGTCTGATCAGAAGCTGACAGCATGAAAGCGCCACCAATCTGTCATAGTCTGTGACAGATGACATTAATGTCTGTAAACCCATTTTATGGAGACAATTAATAGCAGAAAGTAAACATACTAATCTACTATGATTAACCTGTCCATAATCAATATTGCAGATGACATTTTCATTTACTTGTTGATCAAGCTGTGAAGTATCTAATTTTTCTCCACTCTTTATAATAACAGTTTTCGATTTCTCTTCGGAAGCTTGTTCAAAAGACAAGAATTCTCGCAATACTATCTTCATTAGTATGTCCCAATATTCTATAGCACTGAGTTTCACTTCCCAGTCGAGATCATTTAATGCGGTGTTCACAGTTTTCATGGCAAAATTCCAGGAATTATCACATTTGCATAACTTCTGAGTGTCTTTTAAGTGTTTCGCGGTTGATGTATGATGTTCCTCTAAAGATCTATCAATAATCTCATCATCATTTAAAATATCAGTTACAGATATATCATGAACTTGAAATGCACTTTTTTGAAACTCAGCAATTGGAATCGTTAATTGTTTATGTGTTAGCTGGCATGTTGTTTCAAACTGCTTACACGATTCTGGGTTGAAGTGTAGGAGAATTTCCCGAAGAGCTCCCTCATGTGTCAACAAAGCCGTAAGAGTTGTCATAGCAGCCCGACGTGCGAAACCTTCATTGTCGGTTGTAACTATTTTGCACAACTGCATCACGACATCTACCTAAAATGTGTAAGAAAAAAAATATGTAAATGAGGCAAATATTTAATTATTATTTTATCATTTTAATTTATTTATGAAAATCAGTTTACTTCTTAATCTTCATTATTATTGCTACTCCTTGTCTGGGCTACCATGACAACCTCCAACTTTTTTACCCATCTTGCTGTTACTGTTCATCAATTTAACTGTATGAAATTCATATTCATGCACAAGATAAAGTGTGTAAGAAAAAAAAATGTAAATAAGGCAAATAGTTAATTATTAATTTATCATTTTAATTTATTTATGAAAATCAGTTTACTCCTTAATCTTCATTATTATTGCTTCTCCTTGTCTGGGCTCCAATGACAACCTCCCACTTTTTAACCGATCTTGCCGTTACAGTCCATCAATTTTCTGTATGAAATTCATAGTCATGCAGAAGATAATCTTTATAATCCCTTTTGTGATTTTCTTAACTAGTGTATTAGCATCTAATCCAATAGCTAAGCCCCATTAATCACCTTTATTTTTTTCTCATCAATCAACTGATCTGTTTATAATCTTTCTTCTAATGATTTCCTACTTCATGGTCTTACAAACAAAAATATTTAGCTTTTTCTTCTCTGCCTTGTCATTATAACACAGTATAATACAGTATGAATTCATGAATAACTTTCATCATGGAGGTAATAAGAACTTAAATTAGAAAGGTATAAAAAAACTTGCATCATGAAAATAATAACCTTAATGGCTTATCGTGATATACCAGATTTACAGTGGCGGATTCAAGGGGTGAGGGCGGGCGAGCCAGCCTGAGGCCCCTAAATTTTCATAAATTATAAAAAAAGAAATGGAAAAAAGCGAAAATTATAATTAATTTTTTTTAAAATCATGATATAGCAGGCCTGATGACAACAAGAGGCAGCCACTAAGTATTTAAGTAATTTATAAGCCGTGAAATACTCGCACCTGTAGGACTGAAACATAGCAGGAGCCAATTCACAAACTGTCAACAGTGCAAGCGGGAAAAACTAAGCTGGCCGGCCGTGAATGGTCGGCGTGTGGTTTGAACCCTCGACAATAAAGTTCAAAATCTGAATGGAGATTGCTGCACCAAATTTCGGGTCTGGGAGTGCCATTTCCAAAATCATAAATTTTCACCCTCACCCTCCACCTGTGATAGTCCTTCCCTGGGCCCCGTCTACTTTGAATTCCTGGATCCGCCACTGATTTGTTTTTATGCTACATATTAAAGACACAGGAGTACAAAATGTAAAAAAACACTCATATTTGAATATTGCTAAAGTAACTTTTAAAAATTGACTCCAAATGCATCTACCATACTTGGATTATAGTCTTTGCAAACTGATAGGTCATAAAAAAATGTTGTCTTACCTTAGACAGACTACAGTCATCGAGGAATACTTCAGTTATCTTATCGTTCAACATTAATCCACTTAAGGACAGGGCTGCAGATGCACGGACGTAGCTCTCATGATCGGCAAGTCGTTCCCATAAGAACCGAGGAAAATTGTGTTTGCAAACCCAACGTGTATCTAGAAATGAGTAGGTATAAGTAATATTAATAAAAAATTTATTTAAAAAATTATAATATACAATAAAACTGTTATTAATTCAATGTGAGTTTGCGTAAGGAAAATACCATAGGAATGATGTTTTGTATGCCCTACCTGACATGTTAGTATACCAAATATTCAGTACGTTCCCAAATACTTGTGAAAAAAATTTCGCAAGTGATAATCTAGTGATAATGATAGTGATAACAGGGATGATGATAATGATAGCACCACCCAACTGAATCTTTACATAAAAAAAGTTAAAATTGAAACTAACTGTTAACATTACGTATGACACGATCAATGAAACCAATGGCAGAATCCCTCCTTTCCCAACTAGATTCACTCATCAAAAGCTTCTGGATCGCAAAGGCTAGATCATCATTACCGTCACTAGATAATAACATAGCTGGCTCACTTAGCACTTCTAACAACTTGCTTAGTAACTATGAAAGATAAAATCAAATTCGTTTCAAATTAGAAGTATGTTTAGATTGATTAATTTCAGATATGAAAGAATAATGTATACTTGAATAAAAGTAATATTACTGGGATATTATTTGAATAATTTTAACAAATTTCTCCTGATGATGATCTATAAAGTGTTGAAATTGAATCCCAGCCAAATGGCGTGTATTTACAATAACAATATTTCTAATAATAATGAATGAGCAACAATTATTTAATTGAATAACTCATTTTATATATTATAATGTTTTGTCAATTGTCAATTTTGTGAAATTTCTCTTTTAAAATTTTCCCTTTTAAAATGCAATCCTTTAAATCCTAAATTATATAGATCTTTGAATGTATGTTTGCTGTGTTTGTATTTCATAATAATGAGAATAAAAATAATAATAAAAAAAATAATAATACTAATAACAATAATAATAATAATAATAATGAAAATTATAGTCCAATGAATGAAAGTACTGTAATATTTTTTCTACTGGTTTTTATGTAAATTTTTATGCCTTTCAAATTCTGTATATTTGTTTTCACAATTTAGTTTTTTAAACTGCTAGTAAATTTTGTTGTGATCTTTGATGTTTTCGTTTTTTTATGAAAAAAAATACCTTGCATGTTCTAATTATGTAATGTACTTTGTTTAAATTACAAATTACACCCAAATATCACAAGGGTGCCATTTTGTTTCTCATTAAAATGATGAATAATACATTCGTCTGCATATCTGTTTTATTTGATAAATATGACACATTTCTTGGGGTACTTGTTAAACTTGATTAAAGACTCTTTATAGACTTTAATCCTTGGTGGAATTTGGTTATATTTAGGATATTCTTTGCCATGGTTCACGGTAACACAATTGCTATCATTTAATGACACCTATAAAAATTGATATTCATTAAATCATATACTTTCATGTGTTATGCATACAGATGAAAAATCTACAACTATCTGTTCCCAATGAGAAATGGAAACAATTCGCAGCTTCAAAAGATATACACTATATTATAATCTTAAGAACAGAAAAGAAAGAATTCTATTATTAATTCTTAGTCCTTAAAACATTCTGAGGAATAGCCCCTATGACCCATGATCAGTGCTTTATTGCAGCCAGGAAATCATAGTAAATAATATTAATAGGTTTTCTGCGTAGTTTAATTTAATTTAATTTAATTTATTTCTTTCAAAATATGTAGAATAAAAAATAAAAAAAAGAATGGAACAATAAAAAAAACGAGAGGAAACCCAAAATTAATCAACTGTTAAGTGGTTTTCGAAATACACATGAAAAATATCATAAAGATTAACAATAAAGATAAAATAGCTTGGTAAACACAATATAAACAAACAAATAATAACAGTGCTAAAATACGCTTTAAGCTCAAGGATATGCCAATCAGTGAACTTAATCATCTTTTTAAGTGGCAATCCCTTTACAAGACAAACATACACACAAGATAATATACTACATAGACAGTCTCATTTTGCAGCAACTGATTCAAGTGGGAGTTGAACCCATGACCTACAGGTAACTAGCCTGGTGTCAACACCACTAGACCACCGAGCTTGCACTTATTGGCTAGTGCCGAATCAGATCCCCACAAAGCAGTGGGTACTGCATGCTACTTGGATGATATGAAACTCGTAAACACAACATAAACAAGAACAAAGGGAACAATGAAAAACAAAAACAAGATAGAGAGAAACCAAAAAGTGAACTTAATCAACTAACAAGTGGTTTAACGAAAATATCATAAATATAAAAAATTAAGATAAAATAGCATAACAACCAGTGGCGCACAGTAAACGAAAGGTCCCAGGTTTGTGTCCCTTGGAAGGCAAAGTTTCTTTTTTTCATTCTAATCAGATTGTTTAAATGATATATTATTAATTACATCATACGACATGTTGTTTCTGGTTTTCTCCAATTCGCCTATGAATTCATATATATATATATATATATACATATTTATATATATAAACATATAAAAAGTATATAGAAATATAAAATTACCATGGATTAGGACTGAATGTAGGATTTATGGGAGCTTGTCCTAGTAGTTACCATGTGAAGAAAAAATGAAATGAAAAAAATGAGCAAAAATAATAAGATATAACATAATTCAATATACTATTAAAATATAATTAGCAATTTTTATGAATATAATGAATGGAGATCATGGGCGGGCCTGTGTTCCATATAATATAATATCACATAATGTGAAGTACAGTACAAGTATCTCTTTACATGCATAGAAATACATGTGATGATAATAGTCCATATATCAAACATTGTCATAATTATAAGCAGTCAAAAGTTGACGGCAACAACTCTTGACATCATAACATCCTTCTTGATGTGAGAGCTTTTGGGGATATGAAGAGGTATGAAGTACAACGTAAACATTGATATTGGCAATAATCCAGATGAAATCGCAACAACAACATACCGTGATATTAGTATCAGGATCACACACAACACTCACTGCAACAGTAAAAAGTTCATCCACCCAATGGAAATCTAATGAAGAGAAAAGGGTATCGTAAAAACATGGAGATAATCTAGGTGATGAGAACATTCTTTATAGAGAGAAATTGGCATTTTATTTTATTTATCTATTTTTTCATTTTGGCATTTTTATTTTATTAATTTATTTAGTTTATTAATTTTTAAAAAAAATAATTAAATAGATATTCAGGCACGTTACCATTTGATTATTTTATATAATATGCATACTGTATGTGGCAAAGACAAGCCATACCAGTTACTCATTGCAAATCGTGTTCCAGAGAAAATGGCCAAAACATGCTGGAATGTCAAATTTTTAAAAATCTATATTATTGCACTAAATTAACTAACTAAATTTTATGTATCCATACATCATGCTATGCTGTTATTTTCCCCATTTCCAATGTCAAAACAACACTTTTTAAGGATTTGATGATTGTTTCTGCATGAGAAATGCCCGAAATCATAAACTCTGAAGGCTGATTTCTTATATATTGTTCTTTAAACAGCTGTAAGTTTAAATGCTTGTAAACTTCACAAGGAAATTTCAGATTTGAATGATTTTTTTAGCTCATATTTTACTCTTCAAACACTCTTTAACATAACTCAAAATCAATTTTTGTGACAAGTGACTGGTTTGGCTAGTCTTTGCCACAAAGGGCTATAAAGGTCATAAATAGTACATATAAATAATAATAATAATACACATTTTTAAAGCGCCTATTAAAGCAAACAAAACTGGCTTGTCACCGGCGCTGGAGGATGTTAGAAAGAAGTTGAACTATTTGAAGAGGAATGATTTAAGAGTAGATT